CTAGAACAGAGGATTCTTTCGTTTTTTCGACACAACTGTGCCCAGGGTTAAATAAGTGCTAAAGAACGATAACATAGTGGTTTTAACGAATTTTATTTTTATGTAAATTTATCATGTATGTTAGTACAATGTTATTGGGAAATCTTCTCGTATGCATAAATGACTAGTTACTTGCAAATGTAATTGGTAACTCAAGTGAATGCCAAATCGAAAACGTGTTGTAGAATTTATTTGCCGTTCTGAATTGAACAATTATGGGAATGATTTAGCTCGGCACTTTTCCAGAAAAATTCAGCAAACATTAAAAACACAAGAATTGAATTATTGAGATTCAATCGTTTTGAATGAAGTCGGAAGGGCGGTGAATCCGAGACGTTGTAGCCTGGACTTTAAAGCAGGCGGGAAAAAAAGGAAAAACCAGGAAAAATTGGTACGAAACAGAAGATATTTTCCGTTTTTCGAATTTTTGTCACTCGGTACAGATTTATACTTGTACAATAGGTACTTTGCCTCGTACAAAATCTTTTAAAAGAAAGTGTTGCAAGTTGGCAAGTGAAATGAAATGCCTAGCGGGACCATTAGGTCTGCTAAGTTGTCACTTGTTTACATCGTTTTAACTACTTAGATATCTCCAATGCCTTAGTGTGTAAGGTAAGTACAAGTAGGTAGCAGGGCTACGGCGAAATGTTTGGGAACACGGCGAGTGGAACAGAACCTGGAAGATTTTAGTATCATCGGGACGGAAATATTGCCTCCTCTTAAAAAAAAGTCTCGATTCCTCAAAACATCGAGTGTTTCTCTTCAAAGATTCAAAAAAGCGCACGCAAAGACGGTGTTTGAACATGAACCGCATAAAGTCTGCGCTTATTGGATGAGTGACTGCAACCTGAAGCTTGGCAAAGCTTTGGTGTGACAGCCGCCCTCATCGAGTTGTCGAGTTGTACGTCGCAAAGGAATGGCAGCGCGTCCGCCCGTCCCGATCCGCCGCCCCGCCCCGCCCAGCCCCGCCACTCGCCCTGCCCCTCGCCCCCCCCGCGCCGCACCGTTTCCGCGCCGCCCCGCCCCCCCGCCCGCGCCGCCGCCCCGCCCCACCCCGGGCCGCGCCGTGGTTTCTCGAAGAGGGCGCACGCTCGGGCTCGCGCTGCGGCGAGGGCGCGCGAGCGCCCGCGCGGCGGCTGGACGTTGCAATTTATCCCATCGAGGCGCCGCAGCCACCGTCTGGGCGAGAGACGCCTACGCACGCTCTCCGCTTACACTTCGCACGCGTTGGCCCGCGACGAAAGCGCCCTTGCCTCCCACCGCGCGGCGCGAGCGGGCACTTCTTCTTGTCCCGCAGCCACTCCGAAAGTGGTAATAAATGTAGCGCGCGCCTATCATTTTCCGACAGTCTATACTGGCCATGATGACCCATTCACTGTTCGTGCACACTAAAAGGCAATCGTTGTAACTTCATATGTGCGTATTCAAAGGAACGGGGTCGTTGACATAGTATAGTTTCTGCAGAATAGGGAAAGGATCCAACAAAACAATTTGCTTCTGCACTAACTGACGGTGTTGGTTGCGTAGTTGGAAAGGCCTTTCTGATTTGGACGAAGATTCGAACAAGTATTGCAGAAGGTGTTTTGTATAAATTACAAATGGCAGGTTTCAAATACCCGTGTAACAATGTTCTACCTTGTACGGTTCAAGTCCATGGACATTTCACCCCTACGCCTTTTAAGTATTATTTTCATGTGGTTTGCTCTGGTGTGTGCGAGCGCCTTGGTCGTCTGGGACCGCTTCCGCGCTGGCCTCGCTTGAGCGACGGGCGCGAGCTAGCGGCTGTGGAACGCGATGGCGCCCCCCGCTCGTTCCACTGTCGCACACACGCAGACTAATCTCTCCTCACACAGATAGGGGGTCTCGGCTGCTGATATACTTGGCACAACGGTGGTTCTTGTGCAATCTCTTTACTTATAAAGCCTACAGGTTAGAGATGGGCCCAAGAACCGCAGTTGCTACATAGATTCAATGGTACTTTCCGGCCATTCTGGTTCCCCATTCAGGAACATAAATTGAATAATTCTGATAATTTTTTCATTTGCATCATTCCAGTGCTTAAATGAGAATTAATTTATCATCTTGTCCAAAATTGGTAGTTTTTTTGGAGAGTCAAAAATTACATAAATTGCGACAAACAAAATCTAGTAATTTTCAAAATTTATTTTAGTGCTATTCGTTACTATTTTGTATTGTATATTACATGATGAAACTGCGTGCCCTTTGTCGTAGAAATATCAAAAGGCCCAAAGTCTTTCGCTAAATTTTCAGAACGCCATCCAGGAAGTTGGTATCTCTCGGGTCGTGACGAACGCCGTGTCCTTAACGAAATTGAAACCTGAGCAGACCTGTCGACACCCCACATTGTGAGACCCTCGCAACGGGGGCTCCCTCGCCTCCGGGAACTCGCCGCGCGTGGTGCTCGCGAACACTAGATGATTTGGATTACTGGAATAAGGCGCCTTTCCGTTCGATTTTATTTACTATTTAGGCAGATGCTACTAACATTTTGGCTTAAAAACTCGTCTCGCCTTGCATGTGAGATTACATATTTTTTCTTTCTTTGAATACTATGTATACTTTTTCAGTCTTTGTGGACGGGAATCGAATATTTTTGGTTTTATTGTGTTTTATTAATTTTCTATTATTCGTATAATTCTTTCGATAGTTTCAACAATACTTGAATATTGTTCAATGTGTTTCGGTGTGTGGTATTTTGTTTAATTGAAGCGTAATTACGTATACTTAGATTCTTATAGCTTTGGGTTTTCAGTTTTTGCCTTCCCTGGTGGCTTTGGGGGGGGGGGGGTCGGTATTGGGTTGAGGTATGAAATATGTAAAGCGTAATATGCTTGTGGATATCGTGCACAACGCAATGTCTTCCACCTCTTTTCTCTCTCGCTCTCGTATATAGGGATTCCTCGTCGATTCCTTACCATCCCATCATCAAATCATGTCATTATCGCTATCATTTACTGATTACATCAACTTAATGACCACAGTTCATAAAGGAGATCCTATAATTCAAAAGAAAGTGTTGAAGCGCGCGCCAAAAAAACACGTTAACCGCGCTTTGACCTGACCATGGAGAAACCGGGTTCACTATAAATTTCTCTGTCGCCTGGCCAACGCCATCAAGCAATCAAACAATGCCCATCCGCCGTCGGTGGGAGCTGCGTCTTTCCGAACTTCCTATAGGGGCCGCTCGCCCCAACGAAGGTATGCCGCGCTTATTCTGTGACGTCATTGGCCTAGTGACATCGAAGGACGGCTGACAGGCGCGCCCGCGAATTTAAGCGGGAGGTGGAGAGACGAACTCCAGGTCGCTGCGCGCATTTCTAGATTCTCCTCTCTTCCATTGCGTCTGCGAACGGAATGGGTGCTCAATAACAGAGTGGTGAAACTGCTAATGTTTGCAATTTGATGTTTTGAAGCCTGACATTTTGGTAAATTACATTCTTTAGTAATCTCTTTCATTAGGGCCAGCGATAGAGGTTATGGTGATTCATCAGGAGATCACATATCATGACCACATTTTGGCATTATTTTCATGATTTTAGTGGCATATAAATCCGCTCTATTTAGTCCATAAGGAAATGTCGAGGAATGACTCCTCACTATGGTATTTTTTTGTATCATTTTTAACCACATGGTCAATTTGCATATTTCAAATACTTTTACGACTGCATAAGTTTATAAATTGACATTGAAATTGAAACATATAATGTCTGTCTAACGTAGAATTCAATGCGAAATCGACTCTTGCGTAAAACGTGCGGCAAATGCTAGGGCGTATTCAATGTCATGTTTTGTTATTGACGCACACAAGAGATCTATTTGGCGGAACTAACGTACTACTGGAGTACGCCTCATAGTACAAATACCTAAGCACAACTAATTCTTCGGGGTTTGTTTTTTTGGCGTGTTGTCTGAGGATTGAGATAATGAGTCGATCTACTATAATGATCTTACGGGTCGTGAATTAAAAGTCTAATTGGTTAGGTTGCAGTTTTTTCATGATTAGGTCCAATCGCGTTGTCATCCCGCACTGGCGGTTTCCAGGCGGGGAGGCCATGGGCCCCATGGTCCCCCTCCAAGCGTCGTAGCTTCGTTTCCTCCCTTTATTTGACGAATTTAACTTTAAATGTCATTTATTTAAACAATAAATATAGTACACTATTAGATCTTATATATATATATATAATATATATTATTATATATATATATATATATAACGAATATGTTTATTTATTTAAGAAAATCTACGCCCCCCCCACAATGATCTGCTTGATTCCGCCCCCAGTATCTGTGCAGTTGGACGAGTAGTCGTGATGAACATGTTTAACTCCCGGTGATTTTTTGTAAAAAGAAGAAGAAGATGAAGAGAGAGAAAAACGAGCTTGGGAGAAATGCATGTTGGTGAGAGTCTCATACTGAGGTCCACAATTCGGATATATTGTAAGCTACTCAGATAAGTTTTGCATCGCTTTATCTTTTCATCCTTTAAGTGAATTTTTAGTAATTGGGTTGTGGCGAAACACAGTAGAGATAAACGTTCCATCGATTGACTTTCATTAATTGTACCACGTCCCCCAATTTCATTGAAGACATGCAATTTTTTGATTGTAGAGATCTTAACCATTCACATTCACGAGACAACTGAAAAGTGTTTTGGAACACGATACGAGTTTGATACACCTTGATATTTCCGCTTATTGATTAAAGATTTGGTTCGATGCCACGTTGGCGGCAGAAACCCCGAGACCTGTCATGTTCGACTGTTGAGGTGATAAACGGATGAACGTCGTTGCGCGATTGCACTGTGATCTCTCATGTTGCCAACATAAAATCACTACATTTCTTGGGGTATTCACAGCGGTTCAAAATTGGCGACAGCGGCTATGCGATTGCCTGCTCAGTTAGTATTTTTACCCTC